GTCAATTAATTCTTTCGGGTATTCACGTTTCAGAAAAAAGTCTTTCAAATCAACTAGAGAGTCCTTGAATGTACTGTCATCGGATATTATTCTGCGGTAACGCTTGCCTTGACTGTATGGTATACCATTCTTGCATGCTTTTGGGTGACAAGAGGTATAATGAAGATACTGATGATTATTAGTGTTTTTCACGAATATGTTCGTTGAAAGAGTGCAATTATTTTTGGAAACACGCACATCAAGAAAATCAACACATGAACTGGAAATGGTTTGCGTAAACTTAATCGTCGGATGAAAATCATTTAGATCACGAATGATCTAAATGTTTATTTTCATCCGTTTTTTTTTTTTTTTTTTTTTTTTTTTTTTTTTTTTTTTTCATCATATACATATGTAATTCATGTTAGATTGTGTCTAAATATTGACTTTTTATTCTTAAAAAGTAGATATTTTAGAGATTATTTTAAAGATTATTTTAATAGTTTTACAGTCTCTTATAACTCCTTATGTAGGAGTGGCTTTGTGTTGTGTAAAAATGCTGTGTTTTACTTCTTAAATATATGTAAAGATGCACATAGATGAAACTTAAATAAAATATTTGAGTTGAGTTGAGTTGAGTTATTAAAAACATCATTTGCGTAATTATCATTTTGACCGTACATGTTTTTAAAATTAGTGTATAAGTCATCAGTTGTGAGTGATTCTGCCGTTTTGCTCTCTTTTTTGTACTTAGATTTAAGTATTTTCCAAAACTTACGTGGATTTGAGGAGGCTAATTTATTTAAACGATCACCCTCTTTTAATTTATATTTAAACTTAGCTTTCTTTTTAAACCTATTATATCGTGTCCTGGCTTTAACAAACCTTTGTTTATTTTCATCCGTTTTATTCCTATTATACAAGTTCTTAAGAGATTTAAATTTGATTTTTTCTTGTTTACATTTGCTATCAAACCATAAGTGATTTTCGTATTTAATTATATATTTTTTGTTATTTATCTTACCGAATACAGTTTCAGCTGCTGAATGAAGTAAATTTGTGAATTGTGTGGCAGATTCATTGACGTCACCAGAATTAACTTGTGTTATCAATTTATTAATTGACTCATATTCATTTCTTAAAAGACAATTAAAAGAGTTTACCTTATTTGTGTCAAAAACTATTGTTTTTATATTATTTTGAGTGTTTTCTGATTTCGTACCGTCAAACTCTAATGTAACACTGAATTTAGACTTTAATTCAAAAGACATACACGCATGATCGGAGAATTCATTGAAATCATTTATAGAAAAATTGTCTATATATTTGAAAGTATCATATTTAAGTAGAAGATAGTCTAAAACACTGGCACCCCTATCGTTACAAAAAGTAAAATCTCCTGAAGTATCATTTCCTAATCGGCCATTTGCAATTAAAAAACCGGTCGATTGACATAATTGTAACAGATTTCTCCCATAAGAATCAATGACCTTATCTTTACTACATCTGCGAGAGATACTATCACATTTATAAATGAAAGGTTGATTGTCAACTAAATATTTATCAAAAACAATAAAATCGTAATCATCAGAAGTTCTACTATTCATGTCACCAGTAATGAGAACATGGCCTAAGTTTTCATAATGAACAATATTTGATTCTAAACAATCAAAAAAGTCAAAAGTATTATTTTCTAATACATACGAATTATTACTTATGGGTCTCTTGTAAACATGGTATAGATAAATATCAGTATCTTGTGAAAAAAGAGTTCTATCTAATTTTATCCAAAATAGTCCATTGATGTTTTTTTTTTCAATTATACTTATTTTATCTTTAAGATATGTTTTATAATATAGAGAAATACCTCCCGAAAAACGTCCAGTCTTTTTGTGTTTCGATTTAACTCCATATAAATGATTACTTTCAAAACTATCAATGTTAAGATTTGTTCTATTTTCACTAGAAATCCACGTCTCGCTTAAAAAAATAATGTCAAAACACTTGATAATGATAATAAGTTGATATAGTCAATAAAGTCATGATCCCCTAACTTCCGTTTTAATCCGTTGATATTCCATGCTCCTACGCTAAGGGATAGCTCTTGACCCCCCTAAATAGAGTCCATGTGCTCATGGGTCGCTGAAGTGTACAGTCGTCCATTGATAAAAAGCTCCTTACCGATAAATTTAACGTTTTTCCCAGCATTTTTTGCCTGTCGCATTACGCTATACAAGGGTTTGCGTGCATCTCGAACCTCTTTCGGGAGTTGAGCCCCTATGCCAATGTTAGCTTCCTTCAGGGAAGTATTCTTCTCAAAAGATGTTTTACGCACTAGCTCACGTTGCCTGTTATAGTGAAACGTAGCTATTATAGGGCGAGGTTCCCGGGACGCGTTTCGACGAAAAGGGCGGTATGCATTATCGATAAAGAGGTCCTCCGTGATTTCTAGATGTTTATGGATAATGTCTTGAACGATCTTTTGGCAGTCTTCCGGTCTATCAGCCGGTACTTCCGGTATACCATAGAACACAAGGTTGTCCTTCATTGATTTCATTTCAAGATCAAGTAACTTTTTCTCAGTGTTTGCTTTGTTGTCGGACATTGTTTTGAGTTTTTCTTCAAAGGATGAACAAGACTGTTTAAGTGTTTTAATCTGCTTTTTTGCTTCGATCAAAGCATTATTATTTTCTTCGAACTTATCCCCGATATACGAGGTTGCGATTTCTGTTTCTGTCACGCGCTTGTCAATACCAGTAACATACGACATGGCAAAAATCAGCCAGCATACAGCACTGATTTTCCTATGACGTACTGAAAAATAACGATCTTGATTTAATTATCTGAATAAAAATGCATTACTTGTTTATTAACAATTATATATGCATGACATTGCAAACAAAATTGTAAATATGCTTTAAATTACATGATTCCCCTAGAATAATAGTATACTAAAATGTTCTTCAGTATGTTTTTATTTTACTGTTGATAATCTTGTAAGTGCCATGTAACCAGAGCTGCATTAGTACTACGGGTGTAGTACTTAAGTACCAGTACCAGTACTTGCCAAGTTATGCAGTACTAGATTTTCCTCGGTACTGCAGTACCAGTAATTTTTGAGGGGAAGTTATTAAGTATCAGTGCCATTACTTTTATATATTCATCAAAGTTTGAATAAATACACAGTGTCAAACAAAATAACCGTAAACATTATTCAGCAAAGCAATAAAATCATTATTTACTTTTAAGTAAACATTACATTTTTACAACTTTAATTATCTAACATACTTTTTACAAACAATATTTACAACACATATTCATGTTTTGTAACCAGGTTACAACTGTAATACAATGCAATCATTTTAAATTCATTAAAAACACAACAGTCTTTTGTTGCCTTTCACACCTTCACGCCTCTGGTAAATTTATACAAAAGTAAATATGTAAAAACTTTTTATGGTGCTAACAAGATCACTTGAAATAAATAGGATTATTTAGAACAGAAGCAATTAATAAGTGTTTATTTTTACTCCTTTGTAGTAATAAAAAATTGTAATATAAAAAGCTATTGAGTCTGTTTATCTCAATTTAATTTTTACTTCTTTTTATGATGAATACTATCTTTAAATTTGAAGGAATATTGCACCAAAATATCTATAGGTTTGACAACTTACTTTTTCACAAATAAAAAATAAAACATGGAATTTACAACTTTACTCTATGAAAAAATTGATGACATTTTTATCAAAACCAAAGTACTGCCTTGTAATGCAGTAGCGGTACCACTTTTTTAAGACAGTAATGCAGTACCAGTACCAGTAGTAGCAACATTTTGTAAGAGTTATTAAGTAACGGTACCAGTACTTGCAAAATCGCTGCAGTACGTACTGCAGTACCAGTGCCAGTAATGCAGCTTTGCATGTAACCATAGCAACAATAATGCCTATAAGAAAATGTCATGACGCCAGAAATTATGTTAATGTCACTTGAATCATGTTACATTGGTTATGTCACATTGTCATGCCACAGGGATGCAAGTCATAATTCAAAAATGATGTAAATGTGCTTCAGTTCAACAGGATTTTCGTATGGTAATTTATATACGAAATAGGTTTACCAATATAATTTTTATCTTATTGTATGTGTCAATATCAATAGTAAATATTGAGCCACAACATAGTCTCACCAACTCATAAAGAATTTATCTCGAAAGGATCATGTCATAGTTTTTCATGTCACATTAATAATGCATCTTGGATCATATCATATATATTTACAGGAATCATGTTGCATAAATTATGTGAAAAGTGTTTACCTTTAGATAAATAATTCTAACAAGTCAATCTTGTTTTGAGTCATGATACATGTACAATGAAATTCTAAAATAAATTTTCAATTTTATATAGATCTATTATAAGCACAAAAGGGTAAAATTATAAAGAATTGTATTAGTCTAGACAGAGAATGACGTTTTATTATACATCTATATGTAAATACACAACATAACGTTATACAATAATTTCGTTTAGCATTCCCATTTCTCTCTCAAGCATTTTCATTTTTTTCACCGACCCCGCAGAAATCATTAGTGAAACTTTTTAACTTTAATTAACTTCGTGTAAATAAAGACTTGCTTCAAAATGTGAAATTAAAGTTCACATTACTTAGGATGTTTTTCTTATGGTCATTTTTTTTCAAAACTATTTTCAGATTACGTGTCCGTCAAATCGGGAGAGTTTTGTTTATATTTCAAGTCAGTATTATGCAAAGAATCTAGCAGACGACAGTACCATGCATCGCGTTCAGCTTCAAGGTCAGCTACTTCTTTCATCAACTCATCATTCCTCTGTTGTAATTTTTGACACAACTGTGAATACATACATGCAGAACTATAATAAACAATTTAAGATAGTGTTTAAAATAAGAAGTAAGCTTCATGCATTTTTCATGTCCAAGTAGGCATGTACCTCAGCAGGGTTCGAACCTTCGATCTCAGTTTTGCCTGCAGACACTTTACCACAATACCACCCTAACCCTTAAAGTGGATTATTAATTGATACCATAACTATTTATTTTGCATGTATATCTGTTTAATCATTTGTAAATGTAAACTGTGTATTATTAAGGAGTGTTTTTCAAATCAATCAAATTATGTTTGTTGTAATTTTAATTTAGTCATTGTAATAGTTGTTGTTTTATTATGATGTTTTTTTCGGGGTTTTTTTGGTTTATTATTATATACTAATATTTTTTCAGAAATATTATGTAATTTGTTTTGTATGAAATCTTCATGTGTTACCTTCTTTAAATAAAGATATCATCATCATTCCCTTTTCCTGATTATTATTATGATCATAATTATTATTATCATTATTATAATCATTATCAATAATAATAATAATAATAATAATAATAATAATTAAAATTATTAAGGACAGACTAGTCTGACTGTCAGCTGATGGCACATACTATCCATTATCTATTATTTGAAGAAAAAACTAGAATACAATAGAAATTCAGAATATTTCTTGAACGACTTACTTGTTGTAATGTTTGTAGCTCAGTTTTCTTTTTCACTCTGAATTTTTCAGAGGCTTTACGATTCTGTTCACGTCGTCTCTCAAGTTTAACAACCTCATCTGGTCTCAATTTCTAGAATAGTATAAAATTTTCACCAACTTTAAAAGGTTTTAACTTTATATTCTTTTTGGGTACAGATTACAGTATAGTGAATAGTTAGTGACATTAGTGCCTTAAAACATCCAGACCACGTTGGTATCATATGGTGACATTGAGACTTTGACGGTTACTTTTAGGTTTACTTACATCAAATTTATGTATAGAACCGTTCTAATGGGTTTCCTTTATATACAGCACATACCATCAGATAATATACGTATAAGTTACAATATGTTGATACTGAATAATTATATTATTTAATGTCCATCTTTGTATTGAACTTTATTGTATAGTTTTGAATTGGGATATTGTAGCTATTTCGTGTCAGGTCAAGGGCTCATAAGCCTAAACCAGAGCTGTTGTTGTTCATGTGTGGATTCTAAAAAATTAAAAGAAAGAATTTTTCTTCGTATTGCATTTTATTTGCTGATAGACATGTTGGGTTAATTTACATAGTAGAAACCGCAAATATAATACATATAAGATTATATATGTAGTATGTAATATTATATTACATAAATTGTTAAGCATATCCTATCTTTTTTGAATTCCTTATTAAACTCGATAATTAATTCATTCTTTCCGTGACTGTATGTAATATTTGACCTCTTCTTTCAATAACGGCGTTATTTTGCCTGTACTGTACGACTCCATCTCTGCAAGATGCAGTTTGGTCTCTTCACGACTGTTATTTGTCCATATTTTACAATTTGACTAGCGTAAAAATTAACAAAAATAATCCTAAAGTTGAACTGGTAAATTCTGTATTCGTCAGAATTAATTAAACCCACGTTCTTCCGCGTTTTCTCGTCCTGACGTTGTTGCATGTAGTTTATATTGTAACGTTATAATCTAATCAGATAGACAGTGGAATGTTTTAATATTTCAAAGTGTTATATTATCAAAAGAAACTGTTAAATAAGATGAAAAATATTTTTTTTAATAATCATCACAAAGAAATACATCCACTTTTTATATAAATATACGGTAAACGCGTAAGCAATATAAATAGAGATGACGTTTATATTAAGTTCATCAAGGGAGGTTAGATGTGTTGTCTTCCCCTTAGCTTCATAGGTCTACATGTCAAACATACTTTAATCTTAGATTTATTTTGGAAGAAGTTTCTCGATGGTACATACTAGTAACCTACCTACCGTAATTTGAGTTATCCCTGGGTTTCGGTATAGTGTTGTAGTTTACCAGTATGCTACTTTCACCAGAGTTTAACCATCACATCGTTCCTGGGCAGGCTTTCAAGCAGTTTACCAGTACAAGTGTCTTCACGTTCACAAGAAAATAACTTCTGTACAGGCTACAGTACGAATGACCGTAGAAAAGATTTCACGATCAATTACAGCGAAAATTACCGGAAATCGAACACTGGTCTCTCGATGCGCAGTCCAAATCTCTACCTATTGAGCTAACCAGACGGTTATTTATGTCCCTGTATTATACAGGTATATAGGATTACACTTATAACTTGAACAGACAAATTACAAATTAAGACAAACATTTGGATCAGAAAAACCGAGAGAGACCGTGGAGTATGCCTAGTCATTAAACAGGAATCTCATATATTACAGGAGCCATGTCAACATGGCAATCCCCCGCCGAATGTGTTTGCTCATTGGAAGAATGTATATGTAGTAGAGCAGAATAATTCCATTTTAAGAGGTCTTTTTGTAATGAAAACTGATGGCTGAAGTGATTACAGATTTGAAACCTATATGAATACTGATGGCTGAAAATAACAAAGGGCAATAACTGAAAAATTATGGATAGTAGGTTATTATATTCTTGTGTGCTGTACCCTCCTCAGTAAAATCTATCCACCTATAAAGTTTGAAGTTGGTACCTCAAATACTTTTTGAGAAAAGCTCCGGACAAAATAGTATGAAAAAGAACAAAGGGCAATAACTAAAAAATTATATAGGGAAGAGTTATCATTCTTGCACACAGCATTCCTCCTCAATAAGATCTATCCACCTATGACATTTCATGTTGACAACTCAAACTCTTGAGTTATGCTCCATTCAGGTAAAAAATTAAGTAGGATAAATAACAAGGGCAATAACTCAAAAATTATGA